ACCTCCTTTGGAGGTGGTCTCAGCTTAAGAAGACCAAAATGTTCTTATAGCTAAAAAGCTTATTTTAAGATGAAAATTACAACTTAAAATTTGATTTTCCATTTGACCAATTTCAGCAAAGTTCACTTGGAGCTGATAACTATGTTTACACGACTTTCTAATGTGGGTGTAATCTTCTCTCTCCCTGTTTTTCCCTGTTACAGTATATGCTCAAATGGAAACAAATGGAATGATTAATTGTTAAGAAAATATACTTCATCCAAGAAAACAGTCACCTGTATCAGAGCGATGAAAGAAAGACCATTTTTTCCAGGTAATAAAACTAGGAGCCCAAACCCTGCTTGGTGATCTGGTACAGTGGAGCTGGCTGGCACCCTTGCTTAGCCAAGGTGCAGCTAAGACCTGTTGACAGGAATGCTTTCAGTTCCAAATCAAACGCAGTTGAACATTAACTCGTTCCCCTGGCATATCTCCACTCTGGGTCTCTCCATGTTTGGCACTCCAAAACCCTTTAAAATCTTAGTCCAAATTATGGGAAAACTAACTGTGTTAGATCACACCGCCCTACATATCTCTCTCTCCCGTCATCAAAAGGTTGCTTACAAAATACTCCGTTGGCAACCTTGTCAGCTCTATCAATATATCAGTACCAAACCTTTGCAAGCTTTTCCCGGACCTAATCTCATCGGGTCTACATGAGCAATTGTTTCAGAAGCTTTGAAATGTGGTTCACACACACACAAAAAGCTTGCTTTCCAAGCGCAAGCCAGAATCACTCACGTACCCGCTCCTTTCCACACATTTGTTTAGCAAATTTGGAGGTTGCGCTGCAATCAGAGTTACAGTCACATCATGCAAATGATATTTAAAGTGAATGTGTATTTCTGAATAACGGAGAAAAAACTCCTCAGACTCGGGAGATCATATTCCTAATGCAATGAAACATAAAAGATGTAAAAGCTGGCAGCAGGAATTCATTCTCTCTTGAAAAAGTAAAACTGCTTTCTTCCTTGACCTACTACACTGCAGGAGATTAACTCATTAAGTTAACATCACACCACAGGCACACTGGATAGTGTAGCTTAATTACTGTACACAGTATGTACGTTGTCCCCAGGGGTCTTGAAGGTGCACATTAATTCAGGAAAATGGATTTCATTTGAAAGTGTAGTTAAAACTGAAATGCTGAAATCTATCTAGTTTCTAAGAGCTCCATTCAAGTCAGGGTCACAGGGGAGCCGAAGCCGAGCCCAGCAAGCAACAGGAACACGGCAGGATATTCCCTGGATGAGACACCAGTCCATCACAGGGCTGACACACACACACACACACACATTCACAACAGGGCCAGTTTTCCCAGAAGCCAATTCACCAACAGTACCAGTACATCTTTGGACTGTAGGAAGAAACTAGAGCACCAGAAGGAAACCATGGAAACACAGTGAGAATACAGAAACTCCGTGCAGTGAGTCCCCACTAATTGAACCCAGGTCCCAGCACTGCAAGGCAACAATGATAACCACTGCACAACTGTGTAGCCCTGAAATGTGATAATCAAATATAACTCTCAATAAAAGCAAGCTTTAATATATGAATACATAGCAATTTAGGGGGTTTTAATTAACTGCAATGTGTGGTGATATAGCTGTTTGGTACTTGTTCTACAGTGCGTCGGTGGCAAAGTTATTTATCAGAATCGTTTGAATCTAATCTTAGCGTATTTATTATATGGATACATTGTATATATAAACACATCCAGAGACGAAATATCCAGGCACTGTGTAAATATCATTGTATCGCTATTTGTCGTCTGTAATTATTCGGTCGCTGTATTGCCGTGTTTGCTCTCTTCCTTTGCAAGACTTTGTATTGCCCTTAATTGGTAAACACAAATCAATTAAGACATATATGGCATAAGCTTCACACATTAAATGAGTGACATTTTAATTTTAATTTCCTTTATCTTGTATTGATTAAGACGTACAGCCCTAAATTGCACAGATTATGACGGATTTCTAGATTAATCCCAGTGACCATGGGGTCTGATCACTGACAGGACTAGTGTGCAGATATTCAGTGTGATTCAATCAGGGTAACAAGGCACAAATAACAGTAGGAGCACAAGTTCATGGGGACATTTGCATATTACTTTCTACATTAGGGCCAAAATACAACGTAATTGCTTGGAACTTGAGCTTCAAAACTGGTCTTTCCCTCTTCTGTGTCAGATAGTTCACAATTCCTGCAGCACACACCCTGATTTGTCATCATAGTAATCACCTGTTCCATGATAATATTTAACTCCTGTCACTCCAGTAGAAGGCAAAGAGAAGAAAACGTTTTCTATTGTATGGCAAACACAAGATGAATATACTGCTTTTCAAATGAATAGCAAACAACATTTAACCAATTTCAGTTTAATCAGGGAATCACAATAACAAAAACTGGAAAATCTCAGGAGCACTGTCTACTATGTACAGTAGCCATGGTCATTATGAGAATGTAATGATGCTACTTTTACCACAAATCACAGCTACTAATGTACTACAGAACAAATAATAACTTCTTATTTAGCATCCTGATAGATTTACAGTAGAGTCTGCTTAAGAACAGGTTCAAGTGGGGAGCTGCGTCAGCATGCCTAGGCTTCAAGGGAACAAGTAAAGGTTTATTCCATGCTGAAAAGAGAAGAAAAGAAACA